ATTATTATTATTATTGTTATTATTATTTAAAACAATTTATTTTCTCAAAAAGAATACATTTACTCGAATTAGATTTCAGATTTTTTTTTCCTTGAAAAGAGCGACTTTGTTTTCCTACAATTACAACATTTTTCAGCCCAAAAAATTTAGACATTTTAAAAAAACAAATAAGAACAATAATAACAGCTTCTTTCTCCCAAAGTCTGACTTTATTCTCATCAGATTTATTCCAAAACATTCAACTCTGGTCTCAATTGTCTTTTGCAGACATATCTACGTATACAAATGCGCATACTAAATCCCACACAGTCGCCGTGGCTGTCTTCACTGTGTTAAAAAATGAAGTGTGTGTGTGTGTGTGTGTGTGTGTGTGTGTGTGTGTGTGTGTGTGTGTGTGTGCGTGTGTGTGTGTGTGTGTGTGTGTGTGTAAGTGTATACACGTTTTCATGCACACACGTCTGCATGTTGGGCAGGAGGTTCATTATGCTAACACATCAAGTAGGAAATCTTTAGCAGTGACTTATCAGTTGCTTGGCAGCCCATGAGTGTGTGTGTGTGTGTGTGTGTGGTGGGGGATGTCAAGAGCAAAGGATGTTGGGGGATGCCCGGGTTACAAGTGCAGCTCAGGGAACTGCAACAGCTGACCTCAGGGAATCGGGGCTGCTGCCCAGTCTGCATACATGACAGTGAGAGGTTGAAGCGACAGCTTTTTTTTTTTTTGGGGTGCGGGGCGGTTTATTAAGTGAGGTGTCTGGAGACCATCGCAGCCAAAAGTACAACTATTTTCTGCCAGTAGGGGGCGCTGCATACAATCGGCCTTCATCACAGACGAGAATGTTGACCCCATGGAGCAAGCAGACTTATTCGATTTGTTTTTGTGTTTTATGGCAAGTAATCAAATTTCACACAGTGGCCAAAACTCTGTTATTCAAACTACCCCTCGGACAAAAATCTCGAGGGGTAGTTTGAAGGGACCCTGCATATGGCCAATTTCTTCCAAAAATGGCTGACTTCCTGGTTCTTGTCAGGGATGGCTTCTCGATGGCTTCTTTTTCAAAAATTGCAAGGACTACATTTGTCTGAAAGACTTTATAAATCATCAGAGCAATCGTACGATCCAAATAGATTTCCTGCGTTGTTTCAGGCGTGGCTTTTTTGTGGATCCAGACATACTTTTTTTAAGCAGATGTATGTCTGATTTTACTCCATGCCAGCATTTGATGAAATAAAATGAATTCAACACATGATTTTTTTTTCTCCAGTGTATTTCCATCAGCCTCATTGAGACTGTCATTCTTTTAATAAACGGCACTATTTTTAAACGGCCTCCCGGTAAAAAAGGTCTATTTGCAAAAAAAAAAAAAAAAAAAAAGGGCTTAACGTCAGCTTGGCGCCGTCCTTCAATGAAAGCAAAATGAAAGGTGACACAAATTTCTTCGGTGGATCTGTTGCTGTCATCATCGCAAGTGACGACCGTTCATATAAGCCGCACCACATTTCGAGCTTTCATCATCGTCTTTCAATGCGCTGCGCTTTAACACGAATCAAGCAAAGATGCAGTCGCGTCTGGCGGTTTTCCAGGAGCGCGTCTTCGCGTGCGCTCGGCAGCAGGTTGAGCATCTGTTACGGGGATGCCGGGCCAAGGCGCTGGTGTGGAACTGATGACTTTCATTCTCGCACCCGCTTTTCCATCAGCGTTACAGTCACTCATCTCACAGGACCCCCCCGGCCCCCAAAGGCCCCGTTAGGCTTCCCCAACACAGATGTCATCAAAACTTCCAATTAAGCACCGTCTTTATGACCCAGGTGGAAAATGTGCACGGCCCACTCACAACATCATGAAATCTTGCAAATTGAGTGGTAGATCACCAAGGCGGCCGCGCAGAGACGGTAAAACAGCGTACATTTGCTTGAAACGTTTGATTTACCCCCTCTCGGGAGACCAGAATCACATTGAGAGGCCCATACGTGTGAAGTGATGGCTAATCTTGCAAGAAATTGCAGAAATTGATGTGGCTCCTGGGGGGGGGGGGGGGGGGCACA